TATAAGTTTAGATTTTAAGTAAATAGCAAGTAGTCTTTATAATTAAATAATATTAATCTTATTATTAGGTTTTTATAAATATTAGTAAATTATAAATACATATTTTAAAAGAATTTATTCAATCGTATTAATTATATGATTAATTATTGATTAATAAATTTTAGCATATAACTTCTAAAATGCTAAAAATTGCCTATTATTAGATTATAATAATTAAAGATATCTTTTAAACTATTTTAGAAAATTTGAGTTTAAGAAAATTAAAATTAAGTTATTTATTTGTAATAAATATATTTACCTAAACTTCAATAGATTTTCCTAAACTCAATTAAGTTTAATTAAGTTTTAGATTTAAAAAAGATTATTTTAAAGATTTTGAAAAAGTTTCTAAATTTATAAGCTATATATTAAAATAGATTTTGAATAGTATCATTAATAATAATATATATAAATAAGTTAAATATCAAAATATACTATATTATAGTAATTATTAAAGATAATGCAATAGTTAATTTTAAATTTACAATTTGTTGCAACATAAGCTAAAATTGATTGCAATATATATTATAATAGTATATAAGTTGTGACATATATAGGTTAAAATAAATTGCAACATATGTTATAATATTAAAAAGTTGTAATGTATTAATTACAGTTCTCATCTTTAATCATTATAATAATTTTATAAAAAAATTTTTTTTAAATTAATATTAAAAATCTAAACTTAAATTATTAAAAAAATCATATTTTTTAACTTATAAAATAAAATTTTGATTTTTTCTATTGCAAAATTCTTATACAATCAGCTCTTCATAAATGCATCCTCCATAAATGCACTCCCTTCATAAATGCACCCTTTTGCTTAGTCCTGAGCTGGGACTTTAATGCTAATTGCACTCCCTTCATATTCTAACAATGCAATGATTTTTTAAGTCCGCTTATATGAAACTCTTTTCCATAAATGCACATCACGTGATTTGTAAGTTTCTGATATATAACTAAAACTTCTGATATTTCCGAATCTTATAACTTGTGCAGTACACGCAATACACGCAGTTCAATTAATATTAGCGCAATTTTTACTACAAACAATGTCTAAAAAAACTACTTTAACCAACATACAGAAGTATGATTTTTGCTTATATACTCGCGATAATAATTTGACTCATGCTCAATATATAAGTTGGATTGAACAAAAATGGGGAGTTAGAATTGACAAATCTACAATTACACGAATTTTACAAACAAGTAATAAAAGAATTACCACAGAAGTTACAAATCCAAAAGCAAAGCATCACAACCTGTTGTTTTTCCAGAGCTTGAACTGGCTCTTGAAAAATTCATATTACTTTATCAAAACAGAATAATCTTAAGTGATGCTTTATTAATTGAAAAGGCTAAATTATTAGCTAATGAACTGGAAATACCTCAAGGAATATTACAGGTTAGTTTTTTAATTTTTAATTTTATTTTAAAAACATAATATTAATATTTATTTAATTTAATTAATTAATTTATTCAATTCTTAATATTTTAGTTTTCTTTCAGTTGGCTTCAAAAGTTTAAGGGTCGTAATGGTATTCGTCAGATAAAGCATTAAGGAGAAGCAGGTTTCACTGACGAAAATGTTATTACTGAATCATTGCTATTATTAAGAAGTAAATGTGCTGAATTCCCTCCTAAACGAATTTATAATATGGATGAAACCGGACTTTTTTATCAGTATTTTTTTAAAATTTTTTTATATATTTTTTATATGAATGTTAATAATATATTTATAGTATTTTATTTTTTAGTTTAGAACTGGATAAAACGTTAGCAATATGATGACTTTCCAGACGTAAAAAAAACAAAGAACGGTTTTCAATTACTTTGTGTGTTAATTCTAATGGATCATATAAGTTAATGCCTTTAGTAATTGGTAAATTTTCAAAACTAAGGTACTTTAAAAATATTAATTTTAATAATTTACCAATAATCTATCAGAATAATTCGAAAGCTTGGATGTTGTCAACACTTTTTCAAGAATGGCTTCAGGAATTTGATAATATAGTTAGTCAAAAACATGGAGGACAATGTGTTTTATTATTAATTGATAACTGTTCAAGTCATAAGTTAGAAAATTTAACTCTTTCTTATGTTAATGTTTATTTTTACCTTCTAATACAACTTCAAAACTTCAACCAATAGACGCAGTGATAATTATGGTTTTTAAAAAATATTATAGGCGTTATCATATTAGGTAATTATATTTTTAATTTTATTATTTTTTTTTCTATATATATAATACAAACTTTTTAATTTTAGGTGGATGTTAGAACAAGTTGAAGCTAGTAAGCTTGTACAAGATTTGAAAATGAATATCTTGCAAGTTATTCAATTTATTATTTCAAGTTGGAATAAAATTACGGCCGAAACTATTCAACATTATTGGAATTATACAAAAATTCTTTTCAATAATATTTTTTCAGATGAAATTTATGAAGATGATTTAATGCTGAATAATGAATTTACTAATGAAATTAAGGCTCTTAATCTTCCTAACAGAATGTAATTAAAAGAATTTTTAACCATTCCTGAAGAAGATATGGTTTGTGAAATTCCTAATCTTTCAGAAATTGCAGATTTATTTAAAAAAAACCAAATGAAAATGATTTGGATGAAATAGATGATAGTACTGAAGCAGAATCCATTTGCATTAATAAAGCATTGCAAAGTTTAAAAACTATGCATATATTTTTACTTCAACAGGAAAATGCAAGTGAACAAATAAGATTAGTAGGTAAAATTGAAAAATTTATGAAAAAAGAAAAAATTAATTCAATACAACAAACTACTATAAATCAATATTTTAGCTAATTTTTATAATCATAATTTTAGTTTTATTATTTTTTTTTTTTAATTCTTAATAATAAATATAATATTATAAATATCAATATAAATCACGTGATTTTTGTTATTCTATAAATGTATTCCCTTTCTAAATGCACCCTTATATTCAATCCTAAGGGGATGCATTTATAGAGAATTGACTGTATAAGTATTTTTAGTAAAAATGTGAAACTATAAATGTCTTTTATTAAAGAAACAGAAAATTTTAATTTTTTTTGTAATTTTGTTTCTTTTTATTGTAATGTATATATATGTAAATAAAATTCCTTTACATTTTGAAATATTAGACAATTTTAAACTTTTTATATTATATAGGATGAATGCTATGAAAAAGGATCAAATAGTATAAAAATTTTTTTTTAAAATAATTAAAGTTCTGGATCAAATAATAAAAGTTACATCTAATTCAATTAGGAAATTTGCTAAAACTTATCATATATTTTACTATTAAAAAATATGTGATTTTTTTTAATCAGACTTTGAATTTTTTGTTAAGCAGAAATGTTAATAATATTGATTTAATGATAATACACTAGCCACTTCTTCCTATTAATTTAATTATTTGATAACTAAACTTTATAATCCTTATATTAATTTTAAGAAATTTATTATATTGTTTAAAAAAAATTAAATATAATAATTATAATAATTAATTATATTGATTTTTATTTTTTCCTATATTGGTAAGCAAACCTCAACTTTCATTTGAAAAAAACAAAGTTTTGAAATGATTTCTATTTTTCATAACTTAATATATTGAGTTTTGCAATATTATACCAATTGTTTTTCTAGAAAGGGTATGCTAATTTTACAATGCAAAAGTGCTTTTTACTAGCAATATTGCTACCTCTTCTGCAGGTTTAGAATTGCAACATGAAAATGTAATTAAAAAATTATTATGATAGCATATTATAAGGAAAAAAATGATAAACAACAAAAAATTAGAAGATAAAAATGTTAAATATATATAAGCATTACAAATTACAAGAGAAAAAGATAAGCATAAAAGAGGAAAAATGATAAATAAATACATAAATATAACAAGCATTAAAAGAGCAAAACCAAGAATTAAAAGAGAAAAATGAAGAAATAAAAAAAATAAACAAATGCTAAGAAAAGTGAGTTACGAACTCGCATAGCAATCCTGTTCTAACCCTTGGAGTTCATCTAGGGACGGGTAAGCGCATTTGTCATAAGCAATTTTTTTTGCGTTTTTATTTTTTATATATTTTCTACAATAGATTTATTTCAAAAAAGAATTAGTTGATGATTAAACACGTGAAACTTCGTAACATTGGTTGTTTGAACTTGCGAATTTAGGATGAGATTATTTGGGGTGAGGGACCAAATTGTAAAAAAAACTTTTTTAAAAATAATTAAAGTTCTGGATCAAACGATAAAGATTGTATCTATTTTACTTAGAAATAAATTTTTGAAAAAATTTTCAATTTGGTCCCTTTTCTCAACACACCCCATTTGTGTAAAAGAATGGAAATCGAATGAAATGGTTGCCTTAGGTGCCATTTTTAATTATTTTCGAGTTGATTTGGACGAATTAGAAACATGGAGAAAATATCCATATAATCGTTATAATTTTTTCGTATACAACTTTATGAATAATTAAAAATTTTTTTTGTCATTTATTAAATTCGTGTATTAAACAAAAAAAAAACATTGGATCTATTTACTTTAAATAAATGTACTTTAATACAAATAAAAAAATTTTGATTTAGCAAGCATTGTCTCGCTAACAATTGAAAGTAATATTTTAAATTCGGTCAATATATTTTTATTAAAATGATCCAAGATTGCAAGTTTTCAAATAAAAAAAGTCATCCATTTGATAGCAATACTTACTCTGATAACACATCAAAATGATTTGTAATGACACTATCTATCGAAATCTGATTGGGTTTTGAAAGATAATACTTTATTAAAAAAATTATTTGCGAGTGATCATGTGATAGATCATGTAACTTACGGAGCAATATTTCAAAATCTAAGATCGTGATGAATAAATCTTCCTGTAAATACTGGGGGGAGGGAGGGGGTCCGATTTCGCGATCTTCATAAGAGGGTCGACTTTTTAAATATGCCTTTTATGCCTTTCAAGGTAGCTTTATGCCATTCTCTAACATGATATCCGTAAAAAATTTTTCCAAGGCCTCGGCAAACTTATAATAATAAGTTTCATTCGAGTTGTAATATTTACAATTGTCCCATATTTTTTGAACATCAATAGCGAATTCTTTAAGAGTTAGGTATTGATTATTTTCCATACGTTTTCTGACAGTGGAAAAGTCCATGGGTTCCTTGATGATATCATAATAATCTGGGACAGTAATAGGATCAACGGGAAGTTTAAATGGCCAAGCATTTTTATGATTCTCTAAATCTTCCATAACTTTTAACATGGTAAGATAACATGCCCTGTATTTAGCCGTTTCTTTTGCTCTTCTTTCCAACTCTGGAGTCCAACCGGATTCTTTAATACCCGGTACAGACATTGGGTCTATTGACTTTGATCCATTTTTGAAACATTGTAAACCTGGGTAGATGATGGGAGTAATAACTGTTCGCGCGATTTTTTCTTTCACCGATTGTTTTTGTTTTAATAAAATCTCCCTTGTCTCGTCATAATTAATTTTAGGTACAAAAGTGCTCTATATCCAAAAATTAACGTTCAGTAATTTTCAAGAATTCCAGAAGATTATCCAGAGAAACGAATAAGTATTAATAATGTATCTGTGATAATAAATGACTTTTTTTTTTGAAAAAAAAAATGCTTTTTATTTTTTATTTTTCTTTGTACCCCCAAAAAAATTTATACTTACCTGCATTAGTTTTGCTTTACTATAATCCTTTATATATCCTCTCCAAATATCCTTATCTAATGTAATATTGGTTGTAAATCCGATTTTACGGAAGAAACCGATGGCACTTTCATCTGCGTAAACCAAAATGTATTTGATCTTGACCACATCTCTCATGAAAAATTTTAAGCGATTCATGAGACGTCTACCATATCCCTTATCTTGATAATCTCCATTAACAGCAAAGAAAACGATTTCAATAAAGTTCCTCTCCGTAAATGGTCGATAGCAAATCCCACCAATAACTTTATTGGGCTCTTTAACAATCACCAAATTGTAATGACTATGATTATACACGACACGAGCGATATACTCTGCTGGCATCTTTGGTAATGCGGTAGAAATCAATTCCTTAACACTAGTAAGCAAAAACAAATTCTCACGAGATCCGTCATTGTTAATAATTCTCCATCGTATATCTCCTTCCTGTTCCTCCGTAAATATGAGCCTATGATCAAAATTATTGTTCCTTTCATTAAGATTCAAATCTTTTTCAAATGGTTCCTTGTTACATATTATCTTATGGTATTGTCTAATTTGATTAATGGTAATTGCCATTTGATCTCTCATTTTTTGAACAAATTTATCCACATATTCAAAGTCTAATAATTTCCCTTTATTATCTAAATATTCGTCAATTTGAATAGCAATATTCAATAACTTATAAAAATCTTCTCCATAAATGTCATTAACATTTCCATGAATGCCTAATTTGTGACCACAAGTGCACAAATCGATTCGTCCAGAACCATTAACAGAATTTGGTCGCCATCCTTTGCAAGAGCACTGATTTTGTGTAGAGTCGAGTGAATTTCCCTTGCATGCCATATATCGTCCAATCTTCATATGCCTTTGGTAATTAGACAATGAATGGATAGGAATGCGTGTTGTTGGATAACTTGTATTGGTCCTCATTTTTTCGAAAGTGAATGATCGTAATATCAAACTTAATTGTCAGGTCCTTTATTGAAGAAATTTATTCCGAATAACGATTAAAAAAAAAATGAAAAACATATATATCATATATATATAAATATATAACTAATCAGATTTTTTTTAATCGAGAACTTCTCAAGAAAAGAGATTAATAATTACGATTGGCTAATATAAGGCGTCTAATTTTCTGATGATACAAAATAAAGTAGTAATACAAGCCATCCAAAAAAAGAAACATTGCACCTGCTATTTCATTATATTTATACATTTTATACAATTATTTTTCTAATTGGCTTATTACATCAAAATAACTTTGAACATTATATAATAAAAGTAATAAAAGTAAATGAATGTATTTATGTTTGTAAAAATGGTCCTAGCGGTGATCTAGCAACTACATCAGGAAATTGTTGATTAAGGGCCTTGATGAGGTCTGTTAATTCCTGACGTGTATGATCCTTTAATTGGTCTTCAGGCGGTGAAAGAACTTGAGCAAATATTTTTAAAAATTCTGGAATGTGATTCAACACCTAAAAGTAAATCAATTACATTTAATAAATATATTACTATTATAGGTTCAAAAAGCATAGGTAATGCTTACATAAGAATTATTTGCACGGAAAAGGTAAAATATGCATTTAAAAACCGGTTCGTTCTCCTCATAATCTTGCTTTAATGGTAAGGTATGCATAATTACTTCTAACACCTAAATGAGAGTGTTTCATAGAAATTTACATTTTTTTTAATGGAATTTATCCTCGAAAATGAATCCGAAAAAGACATCAATATACCTGATCGATCGGAATGACTTGAGGACATTTTATTATCATTCGACATACTGCTCCACACGCGTTATCGGTAACGTTCAATTCCGGTTTCCCGGTAAACAGCGGATGGAGTCGTGAGAGAATTACGTTATATTGGCTATATTACAATTTTGAATTAAAGTTAACAGTCATATATGGTAATGTACAAGAAAAGGAAATTTACCTGCTAATATCTATTGTGGTATGTTCACAAAGGACGCCAATCGCGAAGGCGGAATTACTTCTTACTTCTTCCTCTTCATCGCCCAAGGCTTTAAGATACAATGACAATAGTTGCTACAAATCAAAAATAAACTTTAACATTTTTTTTCAAGGCTTTTTATAATTGAGAATGTTTCATATTATCTTGAAGAATGCCCACTTCAGAGAATTCCGATATGCCAGATTTTAGGCCAACAGTGGATTCACCTAAGCATCCGATAGCCATGGATCTATCAGATATCGGTTTTGATTTTTTCTAAATTCATGAAAAAATATATATTTAAATATCCGGTTAGAAATAAATGTGAATAAATATAAAATGAATTATAACATACGTAATATTTAGTTATATGTGGGAGATAAACTTTGAAATAAGAAGCGAAACCGGGACCAAGAACTAATGCCAACGCGGAAACAAGATCTGATGCCTGGCTAATCAAAAGTGCATCATATTCTGCTTCTTCATCCTCATCTACTAATCCTTCTTCGTCATCATTTTCAAGTTGACATACGGATTTTTTCTCATAAATATTGAGTATATTTTGAGCAATTTGATCAATGTCTTTTATTAAAAATTGATATGCATTAGTATGTTTGTTAATGTCTAAATTCCTTTATAGCGAAAATATGATGATAATAATAGCATACGATCTGCAATAATTGCGGGTCCGCATTGCTTGAGCGCCTCAATAAATTCTTGACATAATTGTACCATTACAATTCTATAATAAATATTGGTGCCAATGTTAGTAAATGCGTGATATAAGGCGCTTAAGAGCAAAGTTTCATAAATGATAATCAGTATTATATAGTTCATCTCATGTATAAATCGAAATGAGCTGGGTTGTAATTCTCATCATATCATCCATAATCAATTCAACTTTCTACTTAAATGAACAACTTACTTGCTTTCTTCGTCGTTCATTATTGATAATATCACTGGCATTGCAGTTTTTATCATATTTTGAACATTTTCATGTACAGGTACTTTCTAAAATATAGTATGTTAATTTCAATTAAAACATCTTGAACATATATATATTTTTCTTTAAAAAAAAAAACATTGTAAATAAATCATACCACAGGTAAACCCGCTTCCCACTGAGTTGGATTCGACATACTGTAAAAAGTTATCAGAAAGCTGAATAAAGATGATATTACTGATTTTCGCACTCCCTCTGAATGATGATTTGATAGTTTCACCAATTCTGATATTGATGCTTCAACGTATGAAAGGAAATTAGATCTTGTATTTGCGAAGATCTCCCCAATGACATCAGCTGCTATTTCTTTTTCATCGACAATGGCAGAATTGATGGTAAATTCTGCATCATCATCATCATCGTCATCAACATCCACATCCGTCGAAAGATTTTCTTCAGCTACATAACAATTAATTGACTTTGTGAGAAGGTATAAATATAAGCATCTATGTGCAGAAAGAATAAATATATATACCATCAAGTGTAAATGGGTCAAATTCTTCCATTTGACAACTTTTTAATAATTGAGGCATAATCGTGCCTAAATAGACACTGAATTCTTCCTTAAACACACGTGCCATTACGGCAAACAAGCAATAACTACATTCGCGAAGACGGGCGTTATCTAGACTTGTGCCCTCAATTGCTAATCGCATAATGTCATTGACATGTGGCTGAGAAACAATTACATCGTTATTACATTACAGTTTTTTCAAAAATATATGTAATAGATTTATTTTACCTGAATTAATTCCTTGCCAACCGCTTCGGCAACTGAACCTACGGTGTCTGTGGCTATTCCTCGTAAAAGTACATCCTCATTGTTCTTGCTCAATGTCATTAGCATTAGTAATCTGCTAATTACTGCAGGAAAATATTTGTTAAATTCCTAATTAAATATAATTAGGTAAATAGAAATAGATAAATGATATTGAATTAATAAGATATTTGAGAGGATAGAGAAGCTTACGCTGCCAGCAGCATGAGCTGCGCTCCCAATAGCTGCTGTAACCGTGTCCTTTACTTCATTGGGACCATTATCCAATAACAGCAACAGCCTTTCCATCAGAGTAGGCAAGTAAAGCAAAATTTCATTATCCAATCCTTCCAAAATAGCATCAAGTGCGTTACATGCTTGCTTTGGAATTTCAGTGTTCGGGTCATTCATAAGATCAAATAGCAAAGGTAGTAATGTAGCATGATTTGCCGCTATCTCTTGATCCAATTCCTCTAAATGTATAAATTAATTGGGTTAAATAATTAAGACAAGTTGTCGTTCTAAAATAGTTTTACCAACCTGCTAAACACCCTAGTGCAATACATGCACCTCTACGAACGATCGTTTCCGGATCACGCAAGCCATTACATACGAGAGGTAACAAGTCATTAAATTTCGGACGCATATAATCAGCACATCCTTCAATGAGAACCTTTTTCACAAATCAAATGAGTTAATATTTTTATAACCAAGATATTAAATTGTAAATTATATTGGGTAAAAAAGTACCGCAAAAGCCATCATTCCGGCTTTTCTGAATTTCGGATCATGACTTTGAACATACGTCACTACGTTTTCCATTACAACTGGAAAGACTTGTTGGGGCGGTAACTTGGTGGACAAAGAATTGATAACTCTAAAAGCCATCTGATCAAATAACGTAAATTGTTAGTTTGATTCATTAATAACATGGAATAGAATACATTAATTACTCTGGAAGGTGATTCGTCATCTTGATCATCAGGATCATCTTCAGCTCCAATTGGCATCAATTGGTGAATGATTGGACCCACAAGTTTTAACCTTTGAACTTTTGATTTCTTACTGTTGATGACAAAATAATGATGTAATTAAATGAAATTCGATTATTATTCACAAACGTTTAAATTTATGTTAATACTTACTAAGTAATAACCCAAATAAGAAATTGCAAAGACATCACGCGAACTGAATCGTCATGTTTATTGTTACGTGATACTATTAAAACAAATTCAATAAGCTGTTGTAGATGATCAGATAAAAGTGGTGTTTCCTGTATAATCGGTAAAGTTGAGTAAATGGTAAGAAATTATACAACGTAGAAAATAATATATCTTACAAAGAACTAAACACACCAATAATAACAGTCCATCAAATAATTCGAATCCTTTGATGGCCGAATCATTATCGCCTGCTTCTAAACATTGTTGAATTACATTGACCATTGAGGGGATCAAATCACGAAATAATTGCTGATTAACAAATACAAACATGAGGTTATTAAATTATAATAATGTGGAGTCACGTTTATATATGAAGAGATCAACAACGACATACTATTTCTTCTTTATTATCAGCTTCAATAATTTCAGCGACTTTCCCCAGAGCTCTAGATAAAAATTAAGTTATAATTGAATTTTAATTATCAAATCCGTCAGTTAAAATGCAATTTATGATCGAAAAAAAGCAACCTACTGCAATGTAGTTACGCGCACAACTTTACTTTCCGGATCGTTAAGAGCTTTGCCAAACAACTCGAAGAGTTGCCTTAAATTATCTTGAAATGCTTCTATAATCACCTCAAATAAAGTATACAGAACAAATATTCCAATCTAAAATATAATTAAATATTATAAATTTCATGTTATAAGAATAATTCGAGTGTCTCCCAAATTAAAATATGAATTTCTTACCTCCCGGTGTCCAGCATCAGGACTTTGACAGCATTGATATAGAAATTGAAGTAGATCATTCCACGCGCCAACTGGGATTTCGATTTTAGCAACAGATGAGATTACACGTGCAGTAGCATGTCGTACAAGCTCACTACAAAAACACAATATTAAAGAAACAACCTTAAATATAAATATACACATCGCGTAATTCCATAAGCTTACTGCGGTTCCCGTAAAATAACTTCGAGTAATTGGTTCTTAATAGCTGTTTGCGTATTTAAATCAATCTTGGACCACCATTTTGTTGACCTTTTTCTTAATTCAACAGCTGCAAGTTGTCGTACCTAAGCAACGTGTAGAGTATTTTTAAATAAATATTCAAGTTTTTACAAAAAAAAAAATTTTTAATTACAAACCTGCCAATGTGTAGAAGACGATAAAATTTGCACAAGCGCAGCAACACAATTAACAGAGCTGTAAAAATTGTTATTCAAAGTAGAAGTAGCCTTGTAAAAATAAATTTGTGAAATACGCGTGATTAGGCAAAAAAAAAAGCTATTTAGTAACTTTGTGAAAACAAATAATGGTTATTAAAGACGTCCCGAGCGTACCGTTCTTATTCTTGCAGTATCAGTATCTCCAGAGACCAATTGGTTAAGAAGTTCTTCTAATCTCGCTACAAACTCTTGATACTATATATTATACGCGTTTTAATAGATATATCTTAAAATTACTTATTTGACAAAATATAGCACGATACGATATACTAAACCGATACAAACCTCCATCGTTAATAGTTATAATACACAAGCAATTTTCAAGTAAAAATAACTTTTTAGTAAAAAGAAGAAAAAAAAAAAAACGGTTTTTTAAATTAAATCTCGATCGCCAAATTTTTATGTAGATCGATCCGATTAATTGAAAGTCATCGGTTTTTTTGCCGGAATAATTTTTTTGGATTTACCCAAGAACTTGTAACTTGGAGGTTTAGGGTTATGGGTTATTTATCACGCCACGTTAAAAGTAATATCATCCCATTATGTTTCACAGTGTTCATTATGAAGAAACTCATCGGTGATTTTCGATTAATCCATTCCGTTCAAAATTTCGACACGACAGAAATGTGTAAGGATTAAAAAAGTTCGCTTTTTATTCATTTTTAATTTGCTTATCTCTTTGTTCTATAATATCTGGGATAATATCCGTTGAAATTTCTGATGCTGTACCGCCCAACCTTTTTATAACTAATTTGGGTCTTGTTCGATGTACATGATCATAAACACACTCTAAACCTGGTTTAACATCATCAAATGTTGATGGTTTGCCATATTTTTCATCCCAAGCCTGAATTAATTGTAAGCAAAATTCAGTTCCACAAGTTCGTTGTAATCTAATTTTGCACTCTTCACATTGAATAAATAATAAATTGCAAGTTTTATTCCTGCAATTCGTGTGTGTATCACATGGTTTTCCGCACGTGTGACATTGAGAAATAATGTCATTTGTAATTGGTTCACCAAGTCGCTTATCGAAAGTAAAATTGCGACCTTTATACAAGGAAGTCACTGATGGATTGTCCTTAACAAACCGCCCATATGCTGTAATTCCTCCCTTAAGCATTTTAACTGATTTAAAACCTTTAGACAGTAGTATGGACCCCGCCTTAGAACATCGAATGCCACCTGTTTTGGACGCGATACCGTTATTTTATTTGATGCACATAAATTCAAATGCGAAAAGTTGTGTATCAAGGTATTGAACATTTAATTAATTAGTAATATGATTTATTTATTTATTTTTGAAATAGAAATAGAATCATTAATTTCGTATTTCGTACCGGTACAATACATATAAATTTCTTCGTTTTGTTTTCCCTCGCATATTTCGTTCATGGCTTTGATACTATCACGGAATGTATCCACGTCTGGTCGCACTGAATTTACAAAATAACCAATCTCGCTGTGAAAAATTTGAAAAATAAAATTCAATCAAAAGCAAAAATAACCAGGTTGACTATTGATATGATTCAAGAAATATTAATGCACTTGCCTCTCATAATGATTTCTCATATCTATTAAGAGAGGAGGTTCTTTGGCATTGGACAATGCTTTATGCCATTCTTCTGGTGCAAGATAATATGGTTGCTTGGACAGATCATATAAACCGGATTCTAATCCATCTGCGACAATCTTACAAATTAAATAATTAATTCAGAAGCCTAAGTCTAAACTAATGCTTATATGGAAAGATTGTTACTTAAATATTTTTTTAATGCATCTTTTCATCAATTCATCCACACAAACCTTGTTCCTAGCTTTGACGTGTAATTTTCTAAATGCCTTTACATGATATGTTGAGAAATTAAAAACTACATCATTTAAATTTAATACTTCATCACAATATTTTCTTAATTCTTCTAATTTCTCTATTGGGCATGAAACCTGCGCATTTATTCCTTCAGAAGCAATATAAATTCTTCCAACTATTCCCATTTCTTCAAGACGACTTAACATATTTTCTCGCAATTCTTGAAGAGAGGCCTGCAAATTCCAATTAAAAGAATAGAATGAAAACGTCCTCCATTCAATTGGTGTCTCTTTAGGTTCTAATGCAAAATTAGTACTAGTTGTATAAAAATGATAAGATCCATATTTGCAAAAAAATCGACGGCTAGTATCAAAAGTTAAAGAGTATCTTTTATTAAATATAAAGGATGAATTTGGTCTAGAATTAAACTTATCTAGAGTGATAATTTTGTGTCTTGCAAGGAAACTAAATGAAAAAAAGCGAGAATGATGAATACGGAAAAGTTGTAAACTTCGAGGAATAGAAATATTCATTCTATCGATATGAAAAACAAATAAACGAAAGAAGAAGAAAGATCCTGCAAAAATTTTAGGTGACTTTAATTCCAATTGGTTGATAAACTGATCCGAGTCTTAGTGCTGCGCATTAAATTCATTTAATAATTTACCGCGCACGTGATTCCCCTAGAAAACGTAACATTTCAATTCTTGAGAATTATATTATAATTAGGGTTGGTAAAAGTCCTAATTGGTCCTAATTGGTCCTGATTAATTTTAAAAAAATTATTAGTTATAAAGATTAAA